GGAAGCGGGGGGTACATATGCTTTAACTTTCACGTGGGCCCTAGGTGGATTGTTCTCCACTATTTTAATTGCCATCACCTGTTTCTCAGGAATTATCATTGTACTATCTGGCAATGTCCCTTGTAGGCATCTTGCAAGTTGTTGTACTATCTGGCCAATTTGTGTCTCCAATTTCTTGATAGATGCTTGCTGATTTTGAAAGTTTGTGTCAATTTGCTGGAACACCTTGTTCGTCTTCTACACATATTGCTGAAACATTCCTTCCAAACTTGGTTTTCTCTCTTGCTGGAAATTGTTTTCGTATGAGTTGAAATTACAGGAGCCATTTTAGATAAAATTTGCTTGTTTCTTGGAAGAAGCAAGCATCAAGCAATTTTCTGTAACGTGATTTCTCCCACAATTCTCACAAGCTGAACTGCCCATCACTGTATTTGGTTCACGTGTTCGCAATTTTACAAGTAATTTCACCTGCTTTAACAAAGCAGCAATCTATGCATTTGTGGAAATCGTGCTGTCTAATTCATACATTCTAGCTACTTTTGGTGGTACTACTTTTTCTGGTGAGAACATTGAATGTGTAGTGGCAATTAATTCAAATAAATCCATGTATAGCTGCACTGATTTTCCTATATTGATCTGCCAGTAGGAGAATCCACTTGGGATTCTGACAATGGTTAAAGTACGGTATAGAAATATTGCACTTGGTTTTCAGTGGCAATCCTATGTTTTGAACATTTTTTATTATCCCCTTGATCCTATACCATGCCACGTGGGGATGACAATCGGGTTTGTCGACTCAGCTTGAAAAAAGCTCTAGCCCGCCCGGCTTGAGGCTCGAGAGAATCAAGCCAAAGCTCGGGCTTAGACCCATTTTGCTCCGGGCAAAGCTCGAGTTGACCCGTGTGGCTCGCCAGCTTGAGTTCATGAGCCTATATTTAAAAAAATATAAAAAAAATTTAAAGGCAACAATAGCGTGCTACCGTCTTTAAAAAATTAAGGCAACAAAGGCTGCCTTAAATATAAAAAAAAATTGCCTAAATCAAAACCAAAATCAAGTCGGCTTGGGTCAGAAAGGCCCGAGCAAAAGCTCAGGTCGAGCTTATTTTTTTGGTTGAGCTTTTACTCGGCTCAGCTTGAGCCCCCAAAAAAGCTCTATCATTTTAACATAGCCGAGCTCAGGCCTTGAATTTCGACTCGCGAGCTAGCTCAGCTCGACTCGTTAACATCCCTAATGCCACGTAATAGCTCTTTCCATCTCTCTATTGGAATGTTTGAATTTTCAATCTAATTTTTGCTACCTTAGCCGATGGAAAGAATTTGTTACTGAATTTTCTAGTTAGTTCTTCTTATGTAGTAATGCTTCCATAAGGTTCAGCATTTAACAATTCCAATGCAACATCTCGCAATGTATATGGAAATAATCGCAACTTGATAGCATCTTCATTAACTCATGGAGCATAAAAATTCTAACAATTTCTAAGGAATTTGGAGATGTGTATATTTGGATTTTCATGAGTTAACCCGTAGAATTGTAGAGTATTGCTCATTAAATTGATCCAATATGTCCTTATCTAAAAATTGTTCACCCAAAATCTAGATACACAATACTGGAACACGTAGGGGTTGCTATTGGCGTCAAGAACATTAAGACTGTCAAATCTCCTTTATTTATTTTCTCCTTACACATGCTGCTGTTCCTGTTGTGCTGCTACTCTTGCAGCCACTTGTCCAATTGGCTGAAAAGGGATAGGAATATGTTGATTGTCAATTCGTTAAATCCATTTCTGAATTAATTTTTTTTAAGGTTTAAAATAATTTCAAATTTTGGTTTTGATTTTCCTTTTGGATGTCTAATATATTCAATTGAATTGATTAAAGCAATATGTTGCTAAAGTAACCCCTATCGTGTAGATTAATCTACGGGGTCATTTATGCAAGCCGTGCTCAGCCCAAAGGAAGACACAGTTTGGCCAAATAACAATGCGCCTACGATTATAAATGTCTGACTATTATAAAAAAATTTCATGTGAACAATAGTTGGTCCAAAGAAAGGTTATTGTTTGACAGAACTAATTGTCAATATTTGATCATTGTATTGAGAGTATCACTTACAGTTAATTTTTCTGTCCAAAGACTAGGAATTAATGTTGTAGTAGGTATCTCGAGATGGGTCCCCAATTTAAATTATTTGTGTATGTCTTATTTTTCTTATTTAACATGCTTGTTTATTTTGTTCTCCATCCATTTCTGTTGCTAATGATGTGAACGTCTCTTCTCAAGTCAACAACATCTCAATGATGAGTGGGACGAACTTTAAGGTTTGGAAAAAAGTTGTGGAGATTATCCTCGGCTGTTTGGATTTGGATCTTGCACTTCATTCGGATCGACCCACTTCTACTCCAGAAAACTCCAATGAGGTTAAAATTGAAAGGTGGGATTGCTTTGATCGAATGTGCTTGATATCATGAAACGTTCCATTCTGGAAGTGTTTCGGGGCTCTATTACTGAGAGTGGAAGCGCCAAGAAGTTCCTTGAGGAAATTGAGCAATATTTTGCCAAGAATAAAAAATTGGAGGCAAGTAAACTTTTGTTAAACTCGTTTCGATGAAGTATAAGGGCAAAGGAAACATACGGAAGCACATCATAGAGATGTCTCATCTCGCATCAAAACTCAAGTCTCTTAAGTTGGAGCTGTCTGAGGACTTGCTTGTGCACTTGGTTTTGATCTCTCCTTCCTGCGCACTTTGGAGAATTCAATATGAGTTATTATACTCAGAAGGACAAATGGTCACTCAATGAGCTTATATCTCACTGTGTGCAAGAAGAGGAGAGACAGTAGCTTGATAAGATTAAGAGTCCTCACTTGGCCTCAACCTCTCAAAACAAGAAAAAAAAAGAGCTAAGGATGCTGCAGAAGGGCATTCTCGTCAAAAGAAACAAAAGAAGCAAGATGAGAAGTTTACCTGCTACTTCTGCAGGAAATCGGGACACATAATGAAAGAATGTCCCAAGTATGCTGCCTGGCGTGTAAAGAATGGTATGCTTCTTCCTTTAGTTTATTCTGAAGTTAATTTAGTTTCTGTACTTAAGGATACTTGGTGGGTAGATTCTAGTGCTACTACTTAGATAAGTATGTCTATGCAGGGTTGCCCGTGGAGCTGACCGCCAAGTAATGCTAAAAGATTTATCTTTGTGGATGATGGCAATGAAGTTACGGTAAAGGCTATAAGGACTTTCAGATTACAATTAAAAACTGGGTTTTATTTGGATTTATTTGAGACATTTGTTGCACCGTCCTTTAAACGGAGTTTAATTTCTATTTTCAGTTTGGAAAAGTCAAGATTTCTTGTTCATTTGGAAATAATAAAGTTAGTCTCTATCAAAATTCACTTGTTGGTTCCGATTATTTGATTCATAATCTATATATGTTTGATGATGTTAGTTCCGATAACGAAATATTGTAAACAAGTTCACGTGGTACAAAATGAAAATTAAGTGAGAATTTCACTACTTTATGACACAAGTGTTTAGGTCATATATCTCTAAGCAGAAAATTCAGAGGTTTATGTTGGATAGAACTCTTGAGCCCCTAGATTTAACAAACTTCAAAGTCTGTGTTGAGTGCATCAAGCGAAAACAAACAAAATTAGAAAATTAGGTGTCGAGAGAGCTACAAACGTCTTAGAACTAATACATACTCATATCTGTGGTCCATTCCCTGTGGCTTTTTGGAATGGACAACATTACTTCATTGCATTCATAGATGATTACTCTAGATTCAGTTACCTAGATTTAATTCACGAGAAGTCTCAATACTTGGATGTTTTCAAGTCTTTCAAAGTTGAAGTTGAACTTCAACTAGGAAAGAAAATAAAGGCTATCAAATCTAATCGTGGTGATGAATACTATGGAAGGTATGATAGATTAGGAGAACAACATCCAAGACCTTTTCGCTATTTTCCTCAATGAGTGTGGAATTTTTCCACAATACACCATGCCGGGCAAACCCAACATGAACGGTGTTGAGGAATGATGAAATTGAACTCTTAAGGATATGGTAAGGAGTATGATGAGCCATTTCTCCTTGCTAGAGTCACCTTGGGAAAAAGCTTTGAAGACTACAATATACATCCTTAATAGGGTATCGAACAAAGCAATTGCCAAAAACCCCTATTAACTTTGGACAGGCAAGAAGCCTAGCATTAGGCACTTGTACATTTGGGGTTGTCCAGTTGAGGCATGGCCTTACAGGCCACACGAAAGAAAACTGGACTCAAGAGCGATTAGCTGCTATTTCGTTGGTTACATTGGACGCTCTCAGGGCTATGAGTTTATGATCCCACATCAAGATCCTTCTTTGAAATAGGAAATGCGAGATTTTTTGAGGATATTGAATTTGGGAGAAAGGAAACATAATGAATGTTGTCTTTGAAGAAGAATCTGTTATTGACAGTGATCAGGTCTCTATACCTATTATTGTTCAAGATACAATTTTGACATTAGATGACAATGTTCAGACTCCTATCCCTGACATTGTTCCTAAGCAAGACAACAATGAGATTCTTCCTCAAGCACCATCTATGAACAAACTTAACAACCTCAAGAAGTGCCATTAAGGAGATCCACTAAGGAGAGAAGAAATGCGATTCCAGATGATTATATCGTCTTTCTTCAAGAACATGATGATGGTGTTGGTTTAATGGAGGATAACCCGATAACTTCTATCAAGCCATGTGTAGTTTCTAACTCTCAAAAGTGGATTGATGCCATGAAGGATAAAATGAAGTCTATGAAAGAATATGATATTTGGATCTTGTCGAGTTGCCTAAAGGTGTGAAGCCCATTGGTTGTAAATGGGTATTTAAACCAAGAGGGATTCAAGGGACAATGTCGAGAGATATAAAGCTCGTCTAGTCCTAAAGTCTTTACTCAAAAGGAAGGCAAAGACTACAAAGAAACTTTCTCTCTCTAATATCTTGAAAGACTCTTTTAGAACAATAATGGCACATGTGGCTCTTTTTTATTTGGAGCTACATCAGATGGATATCAAGACTGCGTTTCTCAATGGAGACATTGATGAGACGATTTACATGGTACAGCCAGAAAACTTTGTGTCAAGAGATCCAAAGTCTATGGTTTGTAAGTTGAAGAAATCCATCTATGGTCTCAAACAAGCTTCTCGCCAATGGTATCACAAGTTCCATCAAGTCATCACCTCGTACAGTTTTGAAGCGAATGTTGTTGATGACTGTGTCTATCATAAGTTCAGTGAAAGTAAATATATCTTCTTGGTATTATATGTTAATGATATTCTGCTCGCTAGTAGTGATATAGGCTTACTGCATGAAACCAAGAAATTTCTGATGAAGAAATTCGAGATGAAAGATCTTGGGGACGCCTCTTTTGTATTGGGTATTCAAATACTAAGAGATCTTTCTCAAGGTATCCTTGGATTGTCAAAAAAGAGCTTTATCGATAAAGTTTTAAGTAGATTTGACATGAAAGATAGTAGACTAGGAGACACGCCCATTTCTAAAGGAGACAAGTTTAGTTCCAAACAGTGCCTCAATAATGATCTTGAAAGAAAAAAGATGCAGAAGATTCCATATGTGTCAGTGGTAGGGAGTTTAATGTATGCTCTAATTTGTATTCGTCACCACATAGCATTTATAGTGGGAGTTTTGGGTAGATATTTGAGTGATCCAAGCATGCAGCATTGGGAAGTAGCCAAACGCATGATGCGTTATTTAAGGAGAACAAAAGAATACATGATCACTTATTGGAGATCAGACAATTTAGAAGTCATTGAACATATAGCGATATATTCCATGTTAGCAGACCCATTAATCAAGGGCTTAGCGCCTAAGATCTTTCATGAACATACTACTCACATAGGCATTATTTTTTAGGATATTTTGGTCTAGTGGGAGTCAATTTTTATGTGCTATATTTTTGCTCTAGGCATTGAATTGTTTAACCTTCAGCATAATAAAGTTGATGGTTTATAATTCTATTTCTGAGCTTGCTTGTATTTTCTATGTGCAGTGTTTGCGCTGCATTAAGGAATCTAGAATGACTAAAGAAGGACCAGTTGGAAATAGACATGTCTCAGATCACATTTCCTGTAATTTTCCATGCTACTCATCTATATTTGATCTATGTCATTAAGTGTGTTAATATGGTGATCATTGTGGTTAATCATGACTCTATTGCGATGAAAGTTGCTGTGGTTCCATTATTAATAAATGAGATGGACAAGATTGTTTGAATAAAAGTCTAAGGATAAATAACATACAGATGCATGCCTAAAGAATTTGTAATATAATTGTTTGAGGAACAATATATAGCCAAGTAGAAGATTGTTAGGAAAATCTATGGTTTTCCTAATTCAGAATTGGCAACATATTTAATACAATTATATTTTCTATTTAATTTAATTTAATGCACTGAAATTAAGTGTTCTAATTTGGCATGCCCATAGACTACTTAAATTAATATGAGCTAGTTGAATAGATACCAACTAATGTTGCTCTAATTGGGGATAATGGGAACCCTAATTAAGCAATATATAAAGATCTATTTTGATTATGGTCCCCAATATACCAAATTAAATACAATTTCCCTTCTCCCAATCTGGAAGAGAAACGACGGCCCCATTGAGGAATCAAGGCGATTTGGTTGAGGAAGATCACAAACCACTCCAGTCGTTCGCGTTCATCGGTATGGCATGCTGTCTCAGGCACCCAAAAATAATAAAATCTACACTTACAAAAAATTGTATGTAGTAGCGGAAGTAAGGATCGTTTCCATGAAGAGTGATTAACCTAATTTTATGCAATGTTAACTATAACGCGCGGGGGGAGGAGTTTGTTCGTGATGAAATCAATTCTAAGTAAAAGCAATGCAAATTAATAAATTGGATTAAATCAATAGAACGAACCTTGGTCTAAGTCAATATTCATCGTTGAAGATATACAATTGATCATTGATCCACAAATAATTATTAACTCATACTTTTAGTATTCATCGTTGGAAAAAAATTTCCCATTGGAAACAATTTCCTATTTCTCCTTACTTTTAATTAGTTAGAAACAAGCGATATAATTAATCCTCATTACCAAACAATCCTAGACAAGCGCGTGAATTTAATTTAATAATGGCTTTCTGAATTAGAGAAATCAATGAACTAGGTAACACAAGCCAAGCGTTTGCATTTAACCTAGATAAATATTCTTCCTAAGATTTAATAGTTTCCCAAAGTAGCAAATTACTAATTCTAATTGCTTCACAAGTTAAATTAATCAAACAATTATGGATTTGATATTTAACTTAGCTATAGATTGAAATGCATGATATAATATATCCTTTTAGTAATCAAACATAACAATCATGAAATTAAGAATAGAAGAATATTCAATACTGAAAATATAAATTAAACGATGAAAATTAGGTAGATCTCACAATTGAAAACGATTCCAAGGCTTCAGTATCCTTCGACCAAGAGATGAAATTTAGTAATACATCAACAATCCTTAAGCAAAAAAGAGAGAAAAATCTTTATGAATCTGGTATAATGAGTGGTATCCTCCTTTTGGACGTCCCTAAGGTTTTAAAGACTCTCCAAGACTTGTTTCCATAAGAATTTCAATCAGAAAAGGAAATCAGATTTTTCTCGTCGCGATTGACTTGGGCTGTCGCCCGGGCAAAACTCGGCAGTCGTCCAGGCATAGCTTTTGGTTTCGATAATTCAATTTTAATGTTGGGCGATCACCCGAATTTTATAACTGGGCTGTTGCCTAGGAAAAATTTCCTCAAAAAATTGTATCTTAGTCCCGAATTCAAATTTTGATTCTTTTAAATTGTTTCTCTTGCAATTTCAACCCTTCAACTTCTAATTGCTTCCAATTGAACCCGCAACATCTTTAATCTTCATTCCATTGCTCATCTCATCTACGGATTATTTGCAATTTGATTCCTGAACTTTCAATTTCTTCCATTAAAGCACTTTTTTTTTCACTCTTTTCTTCTATTTTATACCATGATCATCCAAATGTAACCTAAATCACAATATAAGGGTACTTAGCACATTTAGGTGTTAATTAATCATAAAAGCGCTAGAATTAATGGATGTAAATAACAACATTTCATGTCTTATCATACGTGGTCGATTGTCGTAGTAATCCCACAACAATAGGCAATTGTTCATAATGGATACATGTATATAATCCGAACCAATGTATCCTAATATTTTGGCATGATGTTGATCCTATGATTTCGGTTATTTTGATCTAGGATGTTTGTATCTAGATTTGGTTTCGGTTTTGGATAGGATTTGAATTTCTAACAACTGCAACATGAAATACACCATCACAACCTCACATGCCTCGTTGAAACTTCCATATTCTTGTAAATAACCCTTCCAGAGAGACTTCACGAGCCATGACCCTATGAAACCGGTTGCTCAAATTCTTCTTTTAACCGATGCTTTCGTAAAAAAACCATAATCAGTATTTGTGTTGTAAAAATGTAACATGTACAAAAATAGAAATTCAGTGACTTAATTTGACATGAACGAAAATAGAAATTGAATGAATAAATTGAGATAATTTGAAGTCGAGGATTCAAGTTTAGTGATCAAATGTGAGTTTAGATATCGTTCATGTCATTTACTAGAATATGGGACTTTTATATAGTAAGTAGCATAAAATTTGCTAATAATGCGCAAGAGTTCCATTGTTTCACGTTCATTAGGAAGAATACACTAATGTGCCAAAATCTAATTTAGCTATTTGGTTTATGGGAAAACATTAATTTTCCTTCAAATTATAAATCAACAGGGTAGACGAACGTTGAAGCATATACAATTTTACAAAAAAGAGAAGGAAATTTCAGAATTCAAAAGAATATAATGGAAGCAGATTCAAGAATTGGTCCCCTAAGGAGTCGCAGCTACTTCTGCTGTTTTTTGTCTCATGCCCGTTGTCCAGGCATAGGTTTCTTCATTTCAGGGCCCCATTTGCAATTTTTTTCATTGTTAGAAAATTGTTTTGATACTCTTAATTGCCAACTTTATTTTTCGCTCGAGTTAGTAGATTCTCTTGTATTAGGACCATGAATTCTTATACATAAGGTTAGATTTTTCTGTTTTCATTTGGCATTGTCCAGGTATCCAAGCCTCTTTGGTCACGTCACGTGACACGTTGTTTTTCATATTTATACGTCACATTTGTGAATTCATAATTGTGTGTTAAATTTTAATTAGCAAGACAATCGCAAAGATAGGGAAATAGAGACGAGTCATGCTACACTTACAAAATTAGGCTACAAAGTTGGGTTACAAAATAACATTCACACCAATCATTTCAAAAACAAAATTTTAAATCATTTCAAATCAGTGGCCTATATTTTGCCAACACACTTGGTATCTTCACTTTTGTAAAGTTACTTTGTAAGAGTAGCTTTATTCAAATAGAGACAGTGGATCTTATCTCGGGTGAGGATTGGACTACAAACCAATAAATTGATGACTAGAAAAACTTCCTAAAAGAGGACAAATGACAGAGATTTCCTTATCAAATAATTTGCTCTCCTCATCACCTCAATTTTTTCTTGTCATTTAAATATCATTAGTCTCTTCAAGATACTGGAACCACCTCACGCAAGTTTAGGTCGTAACATGGGTCATTCCTTTTCCTTTGTCTCATTCTAGACCTTCCTGCAAATTGCCCTACATGTAAAAGTTTTTATGGGACGGCACATTCCGCATGCCCACAGTATTGCAGGAAATTTTTGATATCCATCTTTATCATTATCCATTGCAAATTTGCAAGTACAATATTTCTTTCTTGGATTTTAGGAAACTGGCAACATTTGTGTGTTCCTTTAGTCCAAATAAGCAGCACCTGGCACGGTACGGAGTAATCTTGTATTCTGCATAAAAGCAGTATGTGTTGGGAAATTTAGGACGATATTGTATTGCACAATATAAAGTTACAATCATAATACTAGAAGAGTACAAGAACAATTTGGCAGAAGAATGAATAATTTATTAATATGGAGAAAAATATAATACTATTGGGTTTACTATATTGTATAATTCTCTAAAACTCATACATAGTCGTATGAAAGTAATAAATTTCGTGGAGTATACATAAGACTCAAAAGAAAATCTTTAGATGGAAAGAGGATAAAAGATCTAAAAAAAAAAAAGAACAATTTTTTTCTGAATCTATATGCTGCTCGAGCAGCAGCCTCGTGCCAGGCGAGTGTTGCATGGCGCTCCAACAGTAAGCGGACAGTAATGACAGTGCTCATGCACCTCGTTTCCGGTCCAACTTGATTCCAAACACCTTGTATGGCATCTAGGCACCTACATTGGGCACCCAAATTGCTTTCCCAAAACTTTTCATACCCCTTTAATACCTCTTTCAATCACTTCACGAACATCCAACAAAATTTGGGTGACAAAATAATAAGTCTCCACCTTGACACAAATTCTACTACAATGAACAAATTTCAAAAAACTCTCCAACTTGAGGCAAATTCCACTACAAGGAAAAACAAATGGCTCTTTACTCTAAAAAACTCTCTAACAAAATCCTCCTTTTTCACAAAGTCCAACTAGGATAAATTCAATCAACTGAATCCAATCGCTGCTTAGTAGGATTATATCAGGCACCAAGTTTTGCTCGAATTATCACTGCGAGCAACAAAATCACAAATAATTCAAAAGTTTCAAATCAAGGCCAAAAGGAATAGTATTCTTAAAATCCATAGATGCTTCAGACCAATCAAAAAGTTCTCACATGTTATATAAGTTATTTCGAGATGCTGTGTTATTTGTAGGTTCAGAATATGTGGTCTATATAGTGACGGACAATGCTGCAAACTATGTTGCCGCTGGTAGATTATTGGAACGAGAGTTTCAAACATTATTATGGTCTCCATGTACAACTCATTGTATTAATCTAATGTTTCATGATATTGGTAAGCTTGATGAAATTAGTAATGTCGTATCTCGAGCATCAAAAATTACAAAATGCATATATAACCATTGCTACCCATTGCATTTGATGAGGACGTTTGCTGGAAGAAAGGAAATACTTCGACTAGTCGCTCCTACTCATTTTGCCCCTAACTTTATTGCTCTAGAAAGCATATTAGCCCAGAAGGATCCATTAAAAGAAACGGTAACATCTAGCGAGTGGACTTTATCAGCATATGCAAAGGAAAGTAAAAGAAAAAGATTTGTTGATGATGTATTTGATTCTGTATTTTGGAAAGAGTGTGCTACTATTGTGCAACTTACTAAGCCACTCGTTCGTGCTCTATGGATTGTTGATAGTGATGAAAAGCTTTCGATGGGCTACATGTATGAAGCTATTCATGTGACAAAAAGTGAGATACAGTGCGGGTTTCAAAGAAAGGAGAGTAGAGTGGCTCCTTATTTGCAAATTATTCAGAATTGATGGGATAGTCAATTGCGTAAGAATCTTCATGCCACTGGGTATTGGTTAATCCCTTCTTTCTAATACAATAGTCTTGATATGGAAAATCATAAACAAACTATTTTAGGACTTTTAGATGTAATCGAGAGATATGCTTATCGTCAACTTGATTTAAGAAGCAAATTGACTAGTGAAATGAGATTATTTAGGCAAGCACATGGTGACTTTCGACATTTATCTGCAATAGCTGATCATCATAGAATGGCTCCTAGTAAATTGTTATTTTCATGTTATGTACTTTGCTATGTTATATATTTCAGATTTTAGTTTATGTAACATACGCCTATTTTATTTTCTCTTTGTTTTGGTATAGATAAATGGTAGATGTGGTATGGTAGTAGTGCTCCAAATCTACAAACACTTGCAATTCGAGTATGAATTCAAACGTGTAGTTCTTCTGGTTGAGAGAGAAATTGGAGTATATATGAACATATTCATTCTAAAAAGAGAAATAGACTCGAGCACCAAAGGCTTAATGATCTTGTTTATATTCAATACAATTTACGATTGCAACAACAATAATGTTATTTAAATAAATCTTTTCATCCCTTTGTGATTTTTTTTTATTTTAAGATTTTGCTTTCTTTTTACTAGAATTATATTTGATTAATTATAAATTGGATAATAAACTTTTTTTAGGAATTATTTCAAAGTCGAAATTATGATCCTATCGACTTTGAAAGGTTTGGCATTTATGGCAATTGGGTATTAGAAGAGCCACCAAATTTGGTAGATGATAAATTGGAGACATTTCGTCGTGATTTGGTGCATGTTCTATACAAAATGATTAAAATTATAGTAATTGTTAGATTGACGCTATTGTTTCTTCTTTTTATTAAAATATATATGATGTAATGTTGAAATTTAAAACTATTTTCAGATGAATTACATTTTAATGATCTTGATCTTGATTGTGATGGAAATGATGACACTGGAAATGATAATAAAAATGATACAAACAATGGAAATGAGGATTTTGGTATGATTGAGATTCTATCATTGGTACAAGGCGAAGGAATTGAAGAATTTATGGCTGTGACCCTAGCATGGATGCACTCTAACTCTTCTTAATTGAGAAAATATTGACTTATTTCAAATAATTTACTTTGTTAACATGTTCTTTATCCACATTTAACTTTTAGATGATGGTTTTACTTTTGCAAGAATATCCTTAAAGTATATAAAGCTGTCTTGTCGAACCTTGCCATACGATATACTTTTATTATCATTATTTTTCTTTTATCATTGATTGTTGTTTTTATTGTTTCAAGTCCATATTTGACTATATATGATCCAGAATTTGTGAAATTGTGATACAAATTGATATTTAGTTAACAAAATAATATGAGGTTAATTTAGTTATTAGCAGAAAATGGAAAATAATTATTATTCAATGAAAATGTATAATAATATTTTTTATAGGAGTTGACCCGCCGATTGAACCACCGACTCACTGGTTAAACCATTGACCCTTTGACCCACTGCATTGTTTGGGTCGACGTCTAGGTCAGGTTTGACAACTATGCTTTCAACCAATTCACGAACATCCAATGGAATTTGGGTCACAAAATAACAGTATGACTTTTAATACTCTCGTGAAAAAATGCCAATTTATGATACCTACCTACTTTTGGATTCAAAAATTTGAATAGAATTAAACATGGAGCATTTCATGTTCTTGAATGTTGAATGGAGAATTACCCACAGAGAAACTGATCCCATTTGAAGGAATCCAGTTCAGTAGGCACTTTACTGCTGATTTAGACTCTTCATAGTGTGAACAACCCGAGTTCACATTGTTCCAGTTTGAATTTATATTCAACGTTTGGGGGTGTTCTCTTGAGTCATTTTCATTGTGAATATCTTGCCAAATCATAAGAATGTAATGGGCTATCCAAACGCGTTCTCACAAAAAAAGGAAAGATATTTGGTACGAACTATATAGATTTGATAACTCGCATATTTATTATACAAATGGAGTTACAAGTATATTCAGGTAGAGACCCAAGCCCCTCCTTATGTTGTGATTATTACAACCACTATTTACTCGATTGATCATGGTGTTGTCACAGGTTGAACAAGTAGACAAGTTATGACATCTTTTGAGTTGACTTCAGACTTCGTGAATTATCCATGTATCTGTACACTAGATGTGTGACACGTGCATAATTGTCGATTATTTCCAGAAGAAGAGTTTTTGGAGCGGACACCACGATCGGATGAAGGCATTCTTCATTTATATCTTTCCATGCATCCGTAACTAGTTCTTCAAGTTCTGCAAATGCCTCCTCTTTTGTCGCACCTTTGTTTTGATTCATGTAGCATTCAACTGCTGATATTTTCTGCTCAAACTACAACAACATACTCAAACACAACAAGTTAAGATTCAGTAATTAGTGCACTGCTAAGTCAATGTGTTATGTTTGCAGGGACCATCACCAATGAATAAATTTGTTCTCTAATAACTTCAATTTTCCTATCGTTCAACAAGATATCAGAGCTTTCAAAGGTTTTATGAAAATTATGTTAAGTTGTACTATCGCAGCATCAATTTTCCTATCATTCAACAAGATACCAGAGCTTATAAAGGTTTTATAAAAATTATGTTGAGTTGTATTGTCTCTGTGCAGAGGGGTAGGAAGGAGCAGAAAGTCCCCCTCCTGGGAGTGCTAGAGCCAGAGACTATACCTTAAACCAAAAAATTAAATAAGTCATACTTGTAATTTTAGTTTGCCCTAAATTTTGGTTTAAATAATAATAATTTTGTAGCTGTCACGGAACAACATTAGAAAGTAGAACTTCTTACCCCAATTCCAACCATGTCGTTCATTAGTCTACAGATGATTTCCGAAGCTTGTAGGATTAATGGATCACTTGTTATCCACTCAACGGCTTCCTTGCTCACTAACTCTCCAGTGCCAGCAAAAGCGGCTGCTGATAACAATATATAAGTGCTAGTTATTTTTCCTACTTTTAAATATTCTTCCAGTGTTGGAGTACAACCACTGTACACCCACTTTGCCTCTTGAAAGTATGAGCTCGCCAGTCTTTTCGTCTACAAATTGGAACACATATACATTAAGTTTACATACTTCTGATATAAGCGAAAATAATGAGTTTAGCTAGTAATAAATTAATAACCTCTTCTATCACATAGTGAACAAGGTACGACTTTTCTATCTTCCCGAGCTCTTCCTCAATTTCGACATAAAGATCAAATAGTGCTTTGTAGCAATGTTGCATGTATGTCGGTAGCTGATCTATGACACTAAAAACCCATCTACACATGAAGATATCCAATGGATAAATAAGCATCCTATGTGACATTAAGATGGAAAGATGCATTTAAATGATTTACCTTTCAATCGCATCCACGAAAGGTGTAAGTTCGTCTAGGGTCCCATAAACATCAAAGATGTCGTCAACGATAGTAAGCATGGCGATTATTTTGGTTTGCACTTTCCTACCAATTGCATATTGGGGTTCGAAGTATATTGTCAATGCCCAAAAGTAGCATTTGACTAATCTATCTCTTGCAAAAGGCAGTTTATTTTCAATATCTAAGGCCTTCCACCACCTACGTACAATTACATCCAGAGGTAAAATCTTAACAATTTTTATAGTAATTATATTCGATATCGAACTTTCAAGACCATTAGTTGAAATTAAGAGAAAAAGGTATATTCGACCTAACTAATAATGTCTCACAAGACAAGCTAACCTTGTAACTTCGCTTAGCTCTTTCTGATACGTCTTCTGCAATAAGTTGAAGTCTAATTTCATAAAATTGAGGATTATTTCATTGTGTGATTCATCTTCTTGGTAAATAGATATGAACTTTCTTGCTCCCAGTCTAGGCATAGTTTTACGAATTGGTATTTCCCGAGCTTCCTTAATTCGTGTAGACCAAGAATTACTCACATGGTCGAGTAGAGAATTGAGTTGAGCGGTAGAAAACTTCAGTGCTTCCTCTAAAGTTTCCTCTCCATGTGCTCTAAATTGCGCAGCCTCATACCAACTTAACAAGCCTTCTGCATTGCTAATCAAAGATTCGTCAAAGTTTCCTTTGTGGTCCTTGAATTTGTTGAATACATCTGCTTCAACCCTAAAAATAAATAAAAACAAAAATATTAATTGTTCTATTAAAAAGATGTGCTAGTTAAGGTGCATGATAACTTGGTCAAGTTGTTTTTCTTACCACATGAGACATAATATCCTTGTTGTCTAAGTAATCGAAATCGAAGAGCAATGGTACGGAGATCATTGTCATGTTTGCTACAGCTTTCAATATAAGTGTCATATACATATTTTAATGATTTTTCAATTTTCGTTACAAAATGGTAACCAACTCCAAGACGTTGGATAGCATCGATGAGGTCTAATTTATGCAAAGAATCATCTGGAGTATACGCTAGCAATTTCTTCACTTCTGCTTTTAAGCTTTGACGTTTTTGCTCTTCATGGGACAATGTATCCTATTCAAGGAATAAGCATAAGCATAAGCATATAACACATTAATATGAAAATCATGTGGCATAGAATAAAAATTTCAAATAAGAGATTGATATTTTAAAAAAATGGAAAAAAGAGTGTAATTATCATACGGAGAGGTTAGAATCGTAATCAAGGAAATAGTCTCCCCAAATTGTAGGATGATATGTGACCGAGCGACGAACATTCTCAATGACCACACTTTTGCTAGAGAAAGGAGCGGCCGATGCATGAATATCCATTCTATATTTGGACAGGATATGAGTAGTTTTTAACTTCTCAATCCATTAGGCTTATTTATATTTGAAATTGGGGTTATTAGCGCAAAAGCCCCTATGTTTGAAGTTCATTGTGAAAACGTCCCCACCTTATTATTATTATTTATTTATTTTTCATTTTCACATTTCATTGTGGAAACCATCATTTTCTGAATAAAAATACGTAAAGTGATGAATATACCATCCTATTAAAATAAAACATAAAGAAAAGGGGGAAAAAAAAGAACTAAGGCCATGTTTGATAGACTTGATTTTCCACGGAAAATGGAAAATGTTTTCCATTTCCACCCAATTTGTGTTGTTTGATTGCTAAAAATTTTCATAGAATTTGTTTTCCAACTTCTCGCCACACATGTGCCAATTCCATGGTCCGAGGAATGCCCCAAACATTTTTTTTTTGGCAATTGGAACAAATTCTATCCCCAATTATAACAAATTTTGTCCCTTTAATTGACAGTTTCCATGAAAAACAAAACCAAACAAATACCAAAATATAAAAAAATTCAACATTTTTCAAGTGATAAAATTACCCCAATCAAACTCATTTAATTGTCAATTTCCAAGAAAACAAGTTCTAGGCAATTCAATTCCCTGAAATTCTTTTTCTTTTTATCCAAATTCCATCCTTACAATCAAACAGACCTAATTGTAATCATGATCCCATCACTCTCCACACACATCTCCTTGTATTTGTTAAGACTTGGGATCCATTTTAAAAGATCAACCTTGTTAAGAGAGGTAGCCTAAAACCTTAATAAATTGGTATATGTTTCCATCTTTAATCGACGTGGGATTTTATCTCTTAACATATCCCGTAAGATGGTGGCTCGTTTGAGCAAACCAATCTTGAAATTCATATGCTCATTTATCGAGTTTTAATTGGATCAAATCGCTCGTTGGAACTTAATGGGCTCTAATACTATGTTAAGATTTGAGATTTCATCTTAAAAGGTTAACTTTGTTAAGAGGAGTAGCTCAAGATCTTATAAATTGGTCTATATTATCATTTTTAATCGATGTGAGATTTTATCCCTTAACAGTATTCTTGGTTCTGAACCTCTTTTTTTACAACTTCATTTTCTGGCCTTTTCATCCCCATCTCAAGGCTGGAGGGACGGAATAGATCAAGCAAATAATAGCTTTGTTCTATGAGTATTTTCTTGTGAAAATTCCTATGGCAATCGCATGATGCGCAGAGCTTTCCTCGCCATTGAGTAGGAGCTCTCCACACTCGTTTGTGGCCTTACCGCCTATGGCTGCAGCATGGTTCTTGAGGCATTCCATGAACTTGACAATATCAAA